CCTTCTACTACTTTCTGTAGGGCTAGATTTGTGGATAGGTATTGTTTAAATGTGGTTTTATCATGGATATCTTGTTTTTTTTTCTGTCTATGGTGATTGAAAGCTTTGCTGGGAATAGTAGTCTGGCCTGGTATCTGTGGTCTCTTAGTGTCTGCAGAATGTCTGTCCAGGACCTTCTGGCTTTTAGTGTCTCCATTGAGAAGTCATATGTAGTTCTGATAGGTCTGCCTTTATGTGTTACTTTTTCCTTTGCAGCTCTTAATTTTCTTTATTTTGTATGTTTAGTGTTTTGATTATTATGTGGTGAAGGAATGTTTTTTTCCAGTCTATTTGGTGTTCTGTAAGTTTCTTGTATCTTTATAGGCATGTCGTTCCTTAGGTTGGGAAAGTTTTCATCTATGAATATGTTTTCTATGCATTTGAGCTGGTGTCCTCCGTCTATTCCTATTATTCTCAGGTTTGGTCTCTTCTTGGTGTCCCAGATTTCCTGAATGCTTTGTGTTAGGAATTTTGTTGGATTTAACATTTCCTTTGAGTGATGAATCTATTTCATCTAGCATATCTTCAACACCTGAGATCTCTCTTCCATCTCTCTCGTATTCTGTTGTTTATGCCTTGCATCTGTAGTTCCTGTTCACTTACCCAGATTTTCCATTTCCAGAATTCTCTTGGTTTCTGTTTTCTTTGTTGCTTCTATTTCAGTTTTCAAGTCTTGAACTATTTCCTTTACCTGTTTGATTGCTTTTTCTTGGTTTTCTTTAAGGGATTTATTGACTTCTTCCAATTTTTTATTTTTTCCTTGATTTCTTTAAGGGAGTTTTTCATTTCCTCTTTAAGGGCCTCTATCATCTTCATAAAATTAAGTGTTGATTATTCCATGGTGCATGTACTCAAAGATGATCCATAGTCCGCAAAGGCTAAGATTTCTTTATTCAAATAAACACCAGCCCAAACACAAGCCAGAGCATGCCCAGAGCTCACAAGCTAGCATGACCAGAGAGAAGGGCTATTCATGTACGTGGTCCCTTAAGAATTGTCCCTGGGTCATCTTGGACCTCCCCTGACCACGCCCTTATGGGCGTGTCCCGGCACACCTGTCGGGGCTACTAGGAGGTGGGGCTACAGTGTTTCCCTACAATTAAGGTCATTTTCTTGTGATTCAGCTGCGTTGAAATGTTCAGGTCTTGCTGTTGTAGGATCACTGGGTTCTGGTGGTACCATATTGCCCTTTTTGTTACTGAATGTATTCTTGCACTGGCATTTATGCATCGGTGTTGGAATGATTATAGCTCTGGGTATTCATTCTTGTGTTGTCTTGTTGGATGGGTGTTTTGCTCCTTTATTATCTGTTTCCTTGATTGTCTTCTGGACTGAATGGGCAAGGGTTCTAGTGATTGGCAGGTCTTCAGGTCTCATAGGGTGTCTCAGCTGAGGTTAATGGGGGTTTGAGTGCCTACATCCAGTGTACCGTCCTGTTCTTCTGACTGGTGTGGACTGTACCTGTGCCTATGGAATCTGCTGGAGTTGTAGCAAAGGGCTGGCCATGGGGAGGATTATGAGGTGGGTGGGGCTGGGCATTGGAGTGACTTTTGGTCTTTTTCTTTCTTTATTCTGGGGTCTTGTTCTCTCTCTTGCCCAGGTCACTTCCTATGCAGTTCCAAGGTGGAGACAAGACAGCTAGCTATAATGCAGGCCCCCCAGCCCTGTGCTCTGGGCTCCATCTGTGGGTAGTCTGGGGTTATCAGAGGGCCTTCCTTTACATTTCTGCTTGGCTCAGCTGACCCCATTGCCTATAGCACCTGCCAACAGATATGTCAATAAAAACACAAGTTGGGTACTCACTGGTGCCTGTCAGGGTTTCTTAGACAGACCAATAGGTACATACATGAGGGAACACAGGCAAGGCAGCTCACCTGATGGTGGAGGTGGAGAAGACCTACACCAGCTATTTGCAAATCAGAGTCCTGGGGTGTGACTTAGTTCATGTTCACAGGCTTGGGGACCAGGGGTTTCTGGGAAAGTTCTGGAACCCAAGGGCCAGAGAGTCTAGAGCTCCTGTGCCAGCACACAATATGGGAGAGTCCTAGCTCCCGAGAAGTCATCTTTTATTCTACCAGAGCCAATGGTGCCACCTATTTTCAAGGACCATTCTCACTTGATCTACCACTCACAGGCTAGACACATTTAGCATCCTTGTATCAAAGCAAGGGAGTATCTAAAATTAAGCCCACCTCTGAAAGGCAGAGATGGGAAGTCACATTCACCAACAGAGACTGCTTGGATGCTGAGAGATGCCACACCGGGCACTGTGTGTAGCTCAGACAAGGAAAACTCGCACTGCACCAAGGTGCTTCTGAGAACCTTGATGTTTTCCTTTCCTTATCATGACTTCTGCCAGAAACAGAATTTTGTTCTATTATGACTCAAGTTTGCAGACAGGGGCCATCATCTCTGCTTTTGTTTTTTAAATCGGCTATTTTCATCACATTCATTATTGCAGATTTCCGTACACCTTTTATGTGCATGGCTGCTTTGGAATCACAGCAGCAGAGATGGGACATCCTTACCCAGTGAGCTGATTATCAGCTGGTAACAGCTCCTTGGTATGACTGGTTACTTTGTGATCTGCTACAATGTACTTTTTTCATTTGAAACCCTCCTGAGGGGAGCCCTGAGCTGCCTACAGGTACCAGGGAAACCAAGGACAGGAAGGGAAGGGGCTCCATAGGCCAGCAGCCACCCTCCCAAGATTCAAGACCATGTCATCACTCCATTCATCCTACTGTGGCCCGAATCCTTCCAACAAGGGTAGGCTTGACAGGCTGGCTCAGCAAACAGTGTCCCTTTTCTGTCCCCTGACAAGGACACACAGGAGGTAGTTGCCCATCTCCTTCCCAAGATCCTGAGCCCCACATCCTGCCTCTAGGCAAGGAAACCCATGTAGGAGTAGCATGATTCGCTGTCAGAGGTGTCTGTCCTATGCCATGGCAATGGGGTAGAGAGAGCAGGCAGCTTGCTCAGTGTTGAGCCCATAACTGAACTGAAATCCAGTCTCAGGGTTTCTTGTAATACAAGATAGTGAACATCTTTATTTGAACTACTTTAGGTGATGTGGTTCCAAGAGATCTCTCCAGCTCAAGGGTAACAAGGGGACTTCTGGGATGTCCCTCAGTGATCTACAGTCAGTTTCTCCAAATTCCACAGGCCTCCTAGTGGTGATCCCAAGAACTCCTCCCATGTTCCTCCAAGGCCCAAGCCTTTTCAGAGCCTCACTGAAATGCCCTGAGAGAAACCACCCCATGGCTATCATGTTACAAAGTCTAACACAGTTGAATTCTGTGTCTGGCTCTAAGGCTAACTGGGGCCTCCTGTATATGCATCCTGCAACCCTCCTTCTAGTACCCAGGCTAGATTCAGGGATGGGAGCCTTTTAGAAATGTGGTTTAGAGTCTCTTCAGACACTCCAAGGTCCTGGGACATCGCCAAGTTATACGTTAATGCCTTTGCCTCTCAGATGGTCACAGAGCCAAACTTTGGTGTCTGAACTAATGAAGTGAAAGCACTCTGGTCTCAGAAGGGTCAGGCATTTCCTGCTCAGTCCTTCATTGCCTTATCTTGGACCAAACTCCAAGACCACTGGCTGGTGTTTATGTTCCTGGATATGTAGTCACACAAAGGTATGCTAGGAGGCATGTGCCAGGCTGGGATGGATGGTACGGCCACAGATGGCTGGTGAGCATCTGAAATACTTAAGAGTAAAAAAATTTGGTTCTTAGAGGGCGAGAGTCAAGTGTCCAGTGCAGATTACTGAAAATGGGCTGCACGGGGTCAGGGCACCTTTAGGCCAGTCCCCGCTCCTATCACCAGCTTTTTCTTACCACCAGTAAGGAAAGGCATTGAAGGGGCTGAGCAGGAGCCTGGCAGAGCCTAACTGCTCCATTCTGCTGTTATGATGAGAACAAGCAGACAATAGCAGGCACAGCACTAGAGGTATGTTTTAAGCGAGTGAGGAGAAATGATAGTGGAGGGGCCCAGAAGCAAGATCTGGATCCCAGCCTTCTGCCTGGTCCACACCTTACAGAGCCCACAAGAGACAACAGCTGTCATTATCTATAAAGTATCCTCTCTTTATTTAAGTTAAACAATTTCAAGGATGGTTTCCATCTATAAAATGGACAAAGTACAAGCTCTGTACAGCAGTTCTTTTTAAAAATTAACTGGAAAAAAAATTACCAAACTATATTTTGAATTTGCAAAACATACTCACAGATACCATCATTTTCAGCTTCGCAGAGACTCAAGGACCACCACAGAGACGACCACCTTTGCCTGCGTGTGCCCAGGGCTCCTGGGAGTTTTTAGTTTTAAAAACAGGAGTGGGAGGGTGGGATAGCCCCGATGACTACAAAACAATGCAAGCACGGCGAGTCACTTTGGCACACTGTCATGTAAACATGGCTCACCGCAGGGCCTTGCCCAGTCCCTCTTTGTTCAGAGCCGGGCTGAGTGGTACCCTGGTGGCCAGACAATCAGATGGTACAAAGGTGATGAGGGCACAGGGGGGCGGGGTGCAGGTGTGTGGGTGGGAAGCTCCACCTGCACACCTTCTTAGACACAGCCCTGTTGCTTCACATCTGCGGTTCTCACTCTGATAAAAGTAGTGCAGAGGTGTCAGGCTTAACAGTGTGGATTATGCTTGGACTGTACTCCAGCAAGCTCCTGCCTTGTCCTTGACAGCCTTGCACCTGTACCTGTGAGTGACATTCCTCAGAGCCTACCATGGAAGGTGGACATGTGTGGACTTGACCAGACACAAGGGCACCCTGTCTGTTATAATGCATCTTTTTTTTTTTTTTTTTTTTTTGGG